GATGGGAATTTTTGCCTCCAGAAGAATGGGATTTACAAGGTTTCATGATCTTTCCATGTATATTCAAACCAGTTTCCCAAGAGTCATGGTTTGTGGAAGGGGTGTTAAAACTATCCTGTTGCTACTCTTTTTGACTAGGATGGTCTTACTCCACTCTTCAAACTGCAGATCAGATCCCAGTGTGTCACACATAGGGAACAGTGAACAGCACCTGCCACAAAGAGTTTGCAGCCCACATGTTACAACCCCAGGCCTTCCAAACACTCCTTCAATGTGCTCTGTGACACCTCTGACCATGGCTCTGAGGTGCCACTGCCACCCTGCCAGAGCCAAGACCAGGCATCCCCCACACACCAAAGTTTACAGTGCGGATAAACGTGGAGATGTGGTGTGACTGTGGTTCAATTCTCACTTCAGAGGCTCATCTGATTGTGCTTCTGGCAAGGTACTTCAGCCTGAGGCACACAGGAGGGACCTCCAGCTTTGTACCCTGCTGCTGCTCTAATCCCTGTGCCCACGAGGGGAAGCATGGTATGAGAAGTAGGAGGGAAGGGAGAGACAGTGCTGTGATGGCACACAAAGAAAAGCAGATCACAGTGAACTGCCTGAATTAGAAATCACAGAAGTTATTTTGTATTCATCTGCCAGAGAGAGAATTTTATATCCAGCCTATACAATATGCTAAACACTTATCAAAGAACATTTAGAGAGAGGAAAATCTTTGCATTTCCTAAAAGACTGCTTTTCGTTTATTATGTTTAAAGAAAAACAAACAAACATATGAGGATAGGATGATGAAAAATTAGAAAAGATAGCCTGGGGGATGAGAGGAAAAGGCTCTCAACAACTTAGTAGCAGTGCTTGCTGGTTTTATGCACAGCTGAAGCCAATCCCTTGAAAAGGAGAGTTTTGACTCTTAAGTGGCCAGCACCTCTTGCAACATATTTCCTAATCAGCGAGTATTTATGGTCGATATTTTATATTTCCAATTTCCCCCTAAGGGCTCCTGAGAAAGCAGCACACCTGCCAACCTTTTCAGCTGGGCCAATAATTGCCAATTTGCTCTTTGCCTTAGTATATCACTCAATTTAGCCCTGGCTGTGCCCTGCATACATCCTCATTCATCTCTGTGCCCCCATGACAATTAGAGTGTTAGCTTCAGCTAACTAGGGCAACTATTCTACTAGGGTTGGAAGACAATTATTAGTCTATTTTCCCATCTTGTGGCAACAAAATTGAGAATCCATGACAATTACATTCAGCAATTCTGCACTCTGCCGCCTGTTCCCCCTCCTTGCCCCCACCTTCCGAATATTTCAAATTATCACAGCTCTACTACCACATTCAAATTTTCCATGTTCACAGGGAGTGAGGCTTCTATTTAAATGATAATGAGGGACGATCCATTCAATTTAGTGAGGGAGAAAATCCATTAAAAAGCAGGCAGTTCTTAAGCTGATGGGTCAAGAAAAAGATAAAAACCCTTTTTTCAAGCCATTATACAAGGCTCTGTGTGGATTTTTGGACTGTTCAGGACATCAGAAAAGATTAGGACAATTATGGAACATGGGGAAAACCAAAACAAAATGCCCAAGCTTTCCACTTTTACTTGGGTCAACACAACAAAATAGCAATATGGCTTATCTGGCTCTTAATTCTCTGGCAACTTCCAATTACCTCACACTGAAAAGCAGCAGAGGAAAATCCCATTTTGGAGAAAGGCTGTTGACTCTGTTTGGTTGTAGAAGACCTGAGAGTACATGTGCAACAAGGATGTCAACTCTGTAGTAGTTTTTAAGGGAATTTTACATCAACACTGGGAACATAAACAAGTGGCAGATTCCCATCTCCTCTCTGCACCACAAAACCTGGGCTAAAACTTCACTTTTTTTCTACTCTGAAGTTTCATCATCCCAAAGAAGAGCCTAGCCTCAACAAATCAAACCATCTATGCAGCCAGAAATGATTTCACTAGATCATAATAAGCATTTTTTCCCCTCAATGACCCATAATAAATGGTGCTTGGTGTAATGTCTGGAAAGACTTACTATACAAGCCAGACAATTACTGTCTCACCATGAAATTGTATCATTCTCTCCCCACAGAATTTTCACTTGTGGCAAGGAAGGAGCAAAATGCTCTGGGTTTCGTAGTGGATGAACCAATGGCTGTTTGTGTCTGCACAATATAATCAATCATTTGCCTCAGTTTTCTTTAGAGTGCAATTATTTCACGACAGACCAGGCCACCTCTTGACTTCACGGTCCATTAGAGACTAATGACATGCATTAATGTAAATAAAGAACAACTTGCTGGCATCTCACTGAACAAGTCACCTCAAGAAACAAATGGCACAGAGGGGCTAAGCTGCTCAGAATAGCACCTCTGAAATGGGGACCAGCGAAGCTGAAGGGAGGATCTAGTGCTCCTGAGGTGGCACCACTGCAGCTGACACTTTGACAGGCACATTTCCCACCACACCTGCTGTGTGCTACCCTGCAGCAGTCAGACCTGTCACCTCCTGCCTCATTCACTCCATTGTTCACCCCACTTAGTGGGGAAAGGCAGCACAGAGAGCAGTCACGAAGGCCAAATTCACCAAGGAACAGCAGGAGAGTGAGAAACAGCCCAGGTGCCTCCTGCTGCAGAGCATCCATCTGCAGGGAATTCCTGGGTGCTGGAGCCTCAGTTTGTAACCACCAGCCTCAAGGAAACACCATCCCTGCCTTCCTAGGACATCCTGACTGCCCTGTGCTCCTGATCCTGGGGACATGTAAGGAGCTGTGCACTCCAGTGGCACAGCAGCTATTTAAACTGTGTGCTGGGACACACAGCTCCAGAGCCAGCAGGGACCAAGCGTGGCTGGACAGAAAATCCTGCAGGAATCAACACTCAGTAGTGTGTTGTTGTCTCCTCTCCCTTTCCCTGCTCCCTCTCTACAGTGAGAGAACCAGTCTGCCTCCTCATCCCTTTGCACAGAAATGGGGAAAACCATCTGATTGCACCCGTGGGACTTCCTAAGACTTTGAGACAGTCACTAAATAGGCTACAGAACGTGTACCAGTACACGAGGCAGTGTTATATGTAATTAAAGCTAAATTGCACTCATCAAATAACGAACGAAGAGCATTCTGTGATTCATGAACCTTACTTTTCAAACTGTTTAATTACTAATTTGAAAAATTCTCATTTGCGAGGGGTCGCCAGGTCACGAGAGCAGCTTCAGCAAAGCTCTGAAGTGTGCCCCGGCCTCCAGGCACTGCCCAAACATCTCCTCTGACTAGAAAAAGAACAGAGTGCCTATTTCCCACTGAATTTCACTGGCTGCTGAACAGGCTTTGAAGATTTTGCAGGAATTAGGCACTTGGAGTCAATTCCTACAGGCTCAGCCTGCAACTTTGGGGGCAAAGGGAAAGGAGGAGAAATACTGGAAGTGCATCGGTTTAACAAGAAAAGTCTCCAAGACCACTTAACGCTTTGACCTAAGCTAATGGCTAAGCTGGAATATGTTATTCCTTTCCTGCAGCCCCACTCTACAGCTACAGTGCAGCTCCCAGGCTCTCCTGCTCACACACCATCAGGAGCGGCCGAGGGGAGGGGAAGCAGAGAATCCCATCGGTGTGCGTGTACATAAAATCACCACCGTTACTGACATCCCATCAGTGTACATGTACATAAAATCACCACCATTACTGCCTAAAGCACAGCCAAAGATGTCCCACAGCAAGGGGATGTGTCCCGGGGCCCCCCCGGCTGCCTGGCCCCACGGCGGCGCGTGGGCTCGCAATCCTGGAAGCAGATCACAGGACATGTTATTTTTCTCTTCCTCCCACTGCGTCGGCTGTTTACAGCACCCCATTCACACTCCAAACATGTAGAGAGAATTTTCCCCCGTCACATTTCCCTGTCAGAGCTGTCAAGCTGAATCCCGCTTTAATCTGCCAAAAGCACTTTTCTGCTGACATTTTTAATAAATACTTTCAGCTTTTAAACACATTTGTGGGAGCCATTTTTTTCCCCTTTTTCTCCCTTTTCCTCCTGTAGAACGGGCTCTGAAAGCCTTAATAGCAAATACATTACACTTATCAAAGGCTTTCCCCCCCTTTTCCTTTTGCATCCTGAAGCGGAGGTAGTGTTTTCAATTTTAAAGCTAAATTAACTGTCCAATTGAATTTAGCTGGTGTGAGCCGTTTTCTGTGACAGGTTTTAGTTATGAAGCATATTTTACATTAATAGAACTCAACATGAAAACCACTCGCTCTGGGATTTCTGTGGCTTGCCATTGAAATGGCAAATTTAATATTTCAGACATGCTCGTGCCAGCGTTTGATTATTGTTCTTCATTTAAATCTCTCCTAACGGGAAAGGTCCTAATTAGTAAAAAATCATGTTTTAATGAAGGCGAAATGCTAATTGCTAACACAAAAAGCCTTCGTATAAAATTATCCCAGCACTGCCATTGATTTCTTGGTGACTCAAAAGCCCATTTGTGTGTTTACACACTAAGGCACCATTTGCTTTTGTTTTATCATAACATTTCACTCAATGTACCATCGAATTTCCTGAGAGAAAGACAGCTTTCCCCCAAAACCCTCTCATATCTTGGCGGCAGGAAGCATAAAATTAGATGAACTAACTTTGCACCCAAACTATGTGATTACGTGCAGCAGTTAAACCCAAAGATGCTGTAAAAAGCTTTTTAACACAACTTCTTTGAAAAAAAACAAAACAAACCATCAAGCCATTTTTCCCCAAGGAATAACAATTCCATTTTGTTTTCCCATCTCTGATCTTTCGCTTATCATATTATTTGCACCATGATTATAGTGTTTGCAAGGCAGCTCAACCACTTACGCCGTAACACTCAATCATGACATAAAAAAAAGTTATTACACAGTGACCTCTGGATGCCAACATTTGTTCAGCAAGATTTATGAAAAGCCATGTCAGCAGCGGGAATTGCTGCAATGAAGCGACGCTTTCTCCTGAACGGTACTTACATCACTGAGCCGGTCCCTTGAGCTGCTCCGCTGAGAGCTTGTGGCCTCCCTGATGCTGTCTTCCTCGCTATTTCTGCCACTTCTGCTTGTAGGGACCTTCATCTAGAGGGAGAAGAAGGAGGGGGAGAAAGGAGATTTTCAAGCACTGCTCTGCCACCTGTTCCCGAGGTTGCCGACAGCAGTTTAGTCAATGTTTCACTCCTACGCCCACGGCACCGTGGAAGGGGTGGAACGCAGGGGGCTTCTCTGCAGTTGGGCTTGACCATGTGTGTCCACACTCCTTTCCACCAGTGTGGGAGGGAAGGTGCTTTTGGCACTCCTGGGAGCAGCGAGGTTGTGCCAAAGTGCTCAGGGCCTGACACGAGGGGGAAATGGACAGACAGACAGACCCCCTTCACTCTGCTCCCAGCACTCCTCAGCTGGGGCTGCCTGACCCGCCCAGAGATGTGCCCTGGGGCCACCCCAGGAACTGCATTGAGAGGTCATGGTGGCCACTGAGGGACACTTGCTGAAACAACTTGCTTGAGATACTACACAGAATTTAGAGTACATCAGGATTAACTCTTGCAGCCAAGGCTGGTGCTTTGACTGCTGAATCATCCCACTCCCTTCACCTGAAGTTGTGCTTGTGTTTGGACAGAAGTGAGAGAGCCAATGTTTGAAATCACAGCAACCTTCCTTCTACATCTGCAAAGAGTGTTACAGGGGGAGGAGAGGGGTAGGATAGATGTCATTCACAGCTTCATTCCTGGGCTCATTTACTAACAAATTATTCTGCTAATTCCCTCATGAAATATTGGGTGGAAAGAAGTGTTTAATTTATTAATAGGTTCTATTCATATCAGTTTGGTTCCATTTAAATTACACTATTTAAAATGTCGGCTTGTACAAATTGGTATTTTTAATGGCAATAAAATCCCTTTGTTTCTTGCTGTCCTGTTCCATGGTGGTGCTAGCAGCCAGCAGGGTTTGCTCCTGGTACTGATGTGACCCTTGCAGCCCTGCCCCTGTGGCACTGGGCACCCTGGACATGCTGTCACCATGTGGGCACAGCAATCTGAGTGCTGGGAGCACTGACCACTGCACGCCATGGATGTTTGACAGTTCTGCCAGCTAAGTGCCCCACAGTCTGTCAATATTTTAATGAAATGTTCTCTGTGTAGAGAATGAGCTCCAGTTCTCATTCAGAATGCACAGCCCTCTATGGGCATGGGTACCAGAAGTAAAAGAAGTAGAAAGAAAATATACTCAGTAAATTTCTAATTAATGTCCTTGCTTTGCATGCCTTTCTGCCACTTTACACCTCCCCAATACACTTTCTTCTGCAGGATAAGACTTTTAGACACATCTAAGTGATAGAAATCAAATATTTTTCATGGCCACCTCATCATACAACCACTATTCTCAGTGCAGTGCTCTGTCTCACTCCTTGTCCACCACCTTTCAAATATGTTGGCCACCTGAAAACTTTTATCAAGATCAATATTTCATCTTGGTTCCTATGTAAAAATGTTCAAAAGCACAGCACAAGGAGAGGTAATTCCTGCTGGGATCTGCTAGAAGCATTTCCAATAATCCACACCATGTATCAAGGCAAGAAATAATCCACTTGAAGTTCATGATGTTCAATCCATATTGTCTGTTTCCTTAATAACTAGGTCAACAACATCAAAAAGAGAAATCTAACTATACTACATCAATATTGGCCATAAGCCATCAAATTTTAAATTCCACATATAATTAAGTAAATTTGGTAAGATTTTTTTTTCCTAAATACATTAAATGATTGTCATTCACTTATTTTACTCTTTTTTAGGTCTTTATTAAGCAATTACTACTTCAGCTATGCCATTATCTTGCCTAGGATTGATGCCAAGCCAATAAGACAAATGGTAATACCCCATTAATTACAGCCTTTCATAACACTGGCACTCCAGCTTTTTTCTGTCATCTGGGTCTTTCTACACTTACTCAAAACCCAACTCCACTGGTTTCGAGTCATCAGCCAGCTCTTCTGAAACTCTTGGATGTAAAGTATCTGACCTGCCAAATTCAATCCTTCCAGACACAGCAGGTGCTTTGTTTCGCCCTGAAATAGGAACCACTTAACCATTACAGGGCAGAATTACAATTTCCCTAATACAGTACAGAAATGCCCATTGAATTCTGCAGCTTTCTGATTTCTGATCCATAACCTTCTCCCTCCCACCTAGGAACACATCAAAGCCTGTCAAAATTATTACACTTCTGACCTAAACAACTCCTAGACAGCTGCAAATTAAAGGAAAAATAAATTATGCCATTCCAAATCCTTTCACCTTCCCAAGTGCAAATGGTTGCTAGAATTAATTCAAAAGGACTAAACTGCCAGCTGTTTAAAGTTAGCACGGACTCACCCAACCTGTTACCAGACTGGATCCTTTTGCTGCTTTTCTTGAGTTACAGTCAGCTCCAAACACCACCTGTTTCTTTTCTCCAAATTTCATTAAAGGAAAACTACACCTACACACACAGTAACAAATTGAGACAATTTGACCTGACAAGGTCTTGCACAGGCAAGCAAATTAGAAGCATCACTGCTGCCATTAACCTTTCCAAGTAAATATCAATTATTAAACTTGCTGCACTACCTCTGTCCCCAGTTTGCTGCTGTGAATTAAGAGGGTCATCAGCCTTTTTGACAGATCTTGTTCATTTACACCTGCTGCCTGCCAGCAGGGGAGCCCGCACACCCGCAGCCCCAGCGCTCAGCCAAGCTGCCTTAATTCATCAGTAATTACCCTAATGAGCCACATGCAGGACCCAAGGAGGAGGACAAGTTGTTCTGCTAAATGGATGCATTGGTTTCAGGGGCACTCTCGGCAGACCTGGGTATTAGCAAACTGGCCAAAAGCTTCTTTCCCAAAGTTGCCACCGGCTCAGCTGCTTGATTTCTAGTGATTTTCTCTGGGTGTTTTTGCTTGAGTTCTGGAAATTCCTCCTGACCACGTTCCCTGATTGAGTTTTGCTATAAAAACTAGTATTCCTCTCCCTCGGAAAAAGTCATTACTGTTCCAGAGGCAAAGTGGGCTCCCGGCCCTGCTCCCAGCCTGGGGATATCATGTCCGGCTCAGCCCAGACCCAACCAACCAGCTCCCCAAATCACCAGGCAAAACACACTATGCCCTCTCATACTACACATTGCCAGGGACTTCCAGAGGCATTAATGCAACACCAGCCATGGGGATTAAACACCTCAGGTAGACGAGCCAAATATCCCAGCTAAAACTTGAGCAGCCCATATTGGTTGTCCAGGGTCTTTACACACAGTGGCAATGTCCTTCAGCAACCACAATTACATTTGCAATTCAGCATTACAGGCTGTTCTCACTTGAAATCCAATCCTTTTGAGACCACATTGAGTGTCCCCATCCCTCTGCACTACCCACTGAGTGTGCCCAGGTCCTTGGGCAAAAACAATCCTGTGGATGGGTTTGCCCTGTTTGAGGCAGGACTAATCCAAACTTGAACTGGAGGGCTCCAGCCAGTGTAACAGAGCCAAAACAGAGACTGGGGAACAGCAGGAGGAAGGAAGTGTGTGGGCCAAACCTGAGTGTGTTTGATACAGCTGCCCTTAAGTCTGCTCAAAGTATTTTGGCAGCCATCTGAGAAGCAAAATGTTTCAAAATAACTCCAATGCCCAAAGCTCTGCAGAGAGGGCCTTGGAAAGGTGCTCCTCAGCCTCCTTTCCTGAGGGCTGGAGGTGGGAGGGAATCTTGTCTTAGACAAAGGCTGACTACTGTGTCATTTCAGGAGAGAAAAACTGGAAGAAAATAAAAAGGCACATGGGGACAACTGAAGCTATTTGTTAATTTATCTCTTCCAAACCCTAAGACAGCAAGACATTAATGTCCATGCATATGAACTGAAACATTGAATAGGTGCTGAAGTTTTACTCCAGCAGAGCCTGTTTCGTTGTTGTAGAGAATTCTCCAAAAGCATTAATTAAACCCAGAGCTGCTTAAAAACCAGACCAATGCAGTCTCCTGCAAGATAAATAACACCTCAGACCCACCACACACCGCAGAGCAAAGTTGGTGGCAGGCAATCCTGGCTCTCCGCAGTCAGCTTTCACCACGAAGGACAGATTTGAGTTTGGGAATGTGGAAGAGAACATTGCCAGCTCGGTGGGAGCGGGCCAGGGCTGCAGGCAGGAAAGGACCAGGGCAGGTACAGAGGGTTTGTAAGGCCATGATCAATTTGCATCCTGCAGGTGCTCATGGACAGTCCCAAGCCACGTTCAGAGCCAAGAATTATGAACCTTGCGCTGTTGGACATCATGTAGCATGATTAAATACCATAACTCATCCTGGTAATAACTCCAGCTCTGCTATCCTGGAAGGCTGCTGCCTTTCCATCTCTCCCATCCAACTTCCCCCTCCCTACTTCTTCCTGTGAGGTGGGGGTGGAGGAATATATGAATGGGCAGAATGGGCCTTGCTTCCCTAAAAGGGCTTTTTCATTACCACTGTGTTGGCTCTCAGCCCCCGCTTTTTAATCATAATAGATCAGCCTGCTCTCCATTTACTTAAGCTTTTCCGATGTCAGAGGGAAGCACGTTTTTATTTGGCACACCTATTTTCACATCGTGGGCACGCTGCCCCTGCTCATTATTAATAAATACACTTCGATTTATCACAAGCTCCATTTGAGTGCCACGGGGAGCCTGGGGCAAAAGGAGACAAATTCTTTTCTTAAGTTGTTCTGAAAGGTGCTGGGCTTGCCGACCCTCACCCCCATTAACCCAGCACAGCTAGTGTGCTCCTACTGGGAGCTCCACGGCCTGTGCAGCGGCAAACTCGGACTGATCTTGTGCCATCTCAATATATTTGTTCATTATCTTACGCACACACAGAAGCATTTGGAAATGTACTCGGGGCACAGGCCAAATTGAATCATCTGCCTTCATTTTCCACACGATCTGAAGCTACAGCTGCTACAACAGGCTGTGGGATTTTTATTTTCCTTCCTTAACAGTTTTTTTTCCCCCTCGCTCTTAAAGTCACAGTGGTCTCGTTTTAAACCCCTCGCTGTTGCTTGGGTTTGTATCTGTGTTGTATAAA